ATATATATATATATATATGTTTGCATGCGTGCGTTTGTGTGTATATCTGCTTTGGATGAGCCTGCACCAGAACTGCGAACCCGGAGAGCTGAAGTCTTGGTGCATGGTCCTCAGCTTCGTGTAATTCAGGAAACTTGTGAATTCAGGAAACTTGTGTTTTTGGAGAGAAGGTTGGGTAGTTTATGTGGGCAAGATTTTTTGAAAAAAAAGGAAGGGGGTTTACGCGGATAGATTTATTTGGAGGAAGAGATCGTGAAGGATCAGAAAGATTTCATTTTTCCTTTCTAGCAGTACCTAGAGTTTGATTAGTGGTAGTCTATTTTCGATCCCTTTTTTGTGGCTTTTTCCTGAAGGGAGGAAATCCACTTCGAGCAACTGCTTTGAAGAACTGGGGAATTTCGAGTAATTATCACGTTTTTGTGATCTACTACTTAACCGTGGGCATGGTTTTAAATATTTCCCAGCGGTGCTTTGAACAAGCTGCGTTAACAGCTGCGTGCATGTTACGTAAGTTTTCACGTTCCCACACAAATGGGTTTATTCACGTGAAGTATATCTGTTTAATGTGCAAACTGGGCATAGGGTGAAGATTGGAGGGCCGGCGTATAGCAGTGGAAATGCTGCAAAGAGTTCCTTGCCTACAATTTGGCACGTTTTAATCATAACCACGTGAATAAAATGATATTTTCCAGATTCGGTGGTGGTGGTGGTGGCTATAAGCGCAGCTTTAGCGGTGGTGGTGGCGGCGGCGGTGGCAGTTCCTTTGCTAAAAGAACACGGTTTGATGGCGCTCAGATGAGTTACGGAGGAAATTGGTGATAACTGCAGTGACAGTGAAAGCTTCTTACTCTATCGCGTCACGCTGCATGTCGCGTTCCATCCTTTTTTCTTGATTTGTCCGTTGTTTTACAGGCTAACATTTGAAACTCGCATTGTGCGTTAATTTTGATTTTGCTAATATCATTTCTGCGACATCAAAATGATCGTTGATCGTTTGTTGGATTGTCGCCATCAATTTGTTTTATTTCCATGTGCACTTTACATTCTTCGGTCTTGCGTATACCAGTAATTCGTTGGGAGCATTGATCTTCATGGTAACTCGTACCATTTTTCTTAGCTTCATTGTCTCGTAA